CTACTTTTTTCCGCATGAGTATTGCCGAGAATGTTTATTATCCGCAAAAGTATAATAAAGCGGATCGGGAAAAATTGGTCCAGGCGGCCAAAAAAACTGGTATTTATGAATTTATTGCTAAATTGCCCCACGGATTTGACACAGTATTGAGAGAAGGAGGTGCAGATCTTTCAGAAGGACAAAAGCAGCAAATTTCGGCCATGAAAATGTTTATTGACGACTATGACATTTACATTTTAGACGAGATACTAAGTAATGTTCACCCGAATTTAAAAGGCATTGTTTTAGAAAATATTTTTTCTAAATTAAAAGGCAAAACAGTCTTAGTAATTGACCACCATTATGAGATATTCAAGTATGTTGATTATATTTACCAGTTCACTGGTGAGAAATTAATTCGCATGAATAAGAAAGAGTTTTTAGCCAAATAGAGAAATAAATTAAGAGATAGAAAAATAATGAAGCAGTGTTATCTGTTAAATGTTAAGGAGATTAAAGAAGTTTGTTAATAAAATTAAATAGGTTTCCAAAAACAAAAATAAAAAAAATTTTTGTGGTTTGAATACCGGAAATGTATAAAATAGAGTATATAGGTGTATAAGTAAGGCTATGCTAGGTGGTAATGTTTCAGCTGCTCGCTATCGTTATCCGGGTGGAGGCAATACCTCTCCTTCTCCTTGGTGGCAAAAATTAATTTGAATAATTTTTTTGTTGCTTTTTGTTTTTATAATCTGGTTATTGGTGGTTGGGGGCAAGAAGCAAAAAAAAAAAAAAAAAAAAAAAAACGACCTAAAAAACCCTAATTTATTATCTCGCTCTGTTAAGAGCATTATAGTCTGTCAAAATCCTTCTTTGACAACATGCTACTCTTAATAATTGAGTTCTCGGTCGAATTACTAAAAATAACCTTATTTTCTTCTCTACTCTGAAATAAACAATCTGTGATTGTTTTATTCTTAAAAATCAGTAATTAGAACCTTTTGACAGCGTTGACAAACATCTTTTTCTAAATCCCGATAATTTCAACATCTGATACATTTTGCTCGGTCCGTTTTTTTCACCTTAATAGCGGAAAAATTTCTTTCTCATGCATCATCCTCTCGCTCGTCTCTAATTTCAACTTTGGCT